GGTTCATGAGAGAGGGCAAGTGGGGAGGGAGAGAGAAGAAATGGGGAGCTGATATCAGGGGCTCAAGTGGGAAGAGAATGCTTTGAAAATGATGATGGCGGCATATGTGCAAATGTGCTTGACACATTGGAGGAATGTATGGATGGTGATAAGAGATGTAAGAGCCCCCAATGAAAGTGTTTAAAAAAAAAAAAAGACCCACCTTGAGGGACGAGGAGTACCTGGAAAAGCATCATCGAGTGGCTGCCAAGGAGTCTTGGGGACACAGCGGGATCCCCATTGAGCTGACAACCAGAGTTCAAACCCCCCAGTCACTCCACAGGAGAGAGATGGGGTTGTCTGCTCCCAAGATTTACAGTCTCCGAAAACCAACAGGGCAGTTCTCCTCTGTCCCTAGGGTCACTGTGAGTCAGAATTGACTCAGCGGCAATGAGCCAAGTGGCTTCAAGGAAACCATGGTTGTGCAATGGTTAAGCACTTGGCTGTTCACTACGAGGTTAGCAGTTCAAACCCATCAGATGCCGCAGAAGAGAAAGATGAGGCTGTGTGCTCCCTAGAAGCTGGTAGTTCGAACCCATCCAGGGGCACCACAGAACAAAGGCCTACTTTTGTAAAGATGTCAGCCAAGGAGACCCTGTGGAGCAGAGCGCCTCCAACACACAGTCACCACGCATCAGAGCCGGTCCACGCAGCTTGGGCTTCGAGCCGCATGCATGCACAGTCGGTGTTCTGTAATCAGTAGTCCTCGGGCCCCGACTCACTGCAGTACCTGTGCCTTTGTTTCCTCTACTGAGAAATGGTCAGGCTTGTCCCTCCCCTGTCCCATGGATCTCAGGACCCAGTGGCTCAGTAGGGCCAACCTGGCCAATACTTTGACCCTCAAAGCCAGTCGTCCCCGGTCAGTTAGCGTGTGCTGGAAGGGGGCGGGAGGGGGGCACGGGACTCACCATGTACTCCATGTTGGCGGCAGGTGGGTACACGTTGGCTCGGATGTGGTTGTGATAATCCAACAGGGCACTCATGTCCTGGGCAGAGATGTGGCGCTTTCGGCGGTACCTGGGCATCCCCAGGCCAGTCAGGACCCTCATGGCTGTAGTCTGGGGCCTGGCCAGTGCCAGGGTGGCGTTGGGCATCATCAAGGCGCCCGCTCCGTGGCCTGTCCAGAAGAGCAGGGCTGCCAGGCACATGGCGCTGGGCAGCAGGGGCATCTCTGGTTGGGGTGCAGGCCTGCACACGCCTCGAGCAGTCACAGCTGGCTGCCTGGAGGGGGCGACATGAGGCACAAAGCCCGGCGTCCTCCTCCAGCATCGCCCACTCAGAGGACACCACCCCTGGGGACTTGGTAAAGACCTGACTCTGCTCTGGTCCAGGTGCGTCCCACTCCAACCCCAGCAGACGGAGTGGATCAGCGGTGGAAGGGGATGGCCAGACAGCAGTTTGGCCACACCAGGCTCTGGGTGAGACAGCGGCTACCACTTCAAAGCCTGGGCTGGTCCCACAGCCCAGGGGCAGACAGGCATCCTCCCAGGCACTGCCCTCTTCACCCTGACCTGCTCCAGTTGGGCTCAGCTGAGGTCTTCCCAGGGCAGGGTCCCAACTGTCCCCAAGGCAGGTTGCAAAGCCCTCTTGTCTTGAGTTGTTCCAGGATGGAGAGAGAGAGACAGAGAGAGAAGGAACGAGAGAGATGGCTGAGGATGAAGAGCGGAGACGAAGGGGACATCAGGAAGAAGAGATGCTGAGATAAGGACCAGCGGAGAATGAGAGAGGGAACAGGAAGGGGAACGAGAGGACAGAGACACAGATGCGACAAAGGGCGGAAAGGTACACAGGACAGAAGAGGGAGCGTGAGGGCAGAGGGGTGCGGAGAGGCAGGAGGGACCTGGCAGCAGGCTCCCCGGGGGCGCCTACCCACAACTGGCAGTCCGAGTGGGCAGCTGGATGCGGTGAGGAGGCAGACTCCCTGCCTACCAGCCAGCACCGCGGCTTTAATGGTCCCCTGGGAGCTGATGGCATCTGACGTCCCCAACCCCACGGGCCCCCTCCCCTTCCAGCCAGGCCAGACTTAGAGAAGCTCCGCCTGCCAAGTTATGGGCTTTGCTCTCCCGCCCTCAGCACAGCCCAGGCTTCCACCTGGGCTGTGCAGGGCAGGGGCAGGGGCAGGGGCAGGGATGTGGCACAGGGGCGCGGACTCCAGGAGGAAAGGGCCACCTCCTCAGGAGCACTCAGATTCAGAGGCGGCCCCTCCACCTAGAAGACCCCACCTGGAGCCCAGCGAGCATTCCGTTTCCCCCACAAAACACTGGGACCTGAGTGCGGGCAGCTCGCCGGGCCCCATCTGATTACACCTTCTGTGTGCCAGGTCACTGCATGGCCCACAACGGCCCCTGGGAAGCAGATGCCAGCACACCCCAGTTCACAGAAAAAGAACCTTAGTCCCAGAGAAAGGGAAGAGGCCGGCAGGTCTACCAGAGGCAGGATTCAGATCAGCGTCCTGCAGGGATGTGACGCCCACTGCCCTCTGGCCCATTCCAACCCACAACGACTCTAGCTGGCCCCGTCGAACTGCTCCATAGGGTATCCTGAGGTTGTGCATCTTCAGGGGAGAATCGGACAGCTTCATCTTAACCCGCAGTGCCACCAGGGCCCCTTGCTTGGCAAGAAGGACCCCACATTTGCAACCCCAACTTACCATTGATGCATAACTAAACTCCATGTCAACGCGTCTATCCCAATTCATAGTGACCCTATGGGACAGGGTAGAACTGCCCCTGTGGGTTTCCAAGACTGTAACTCTTTATGGGAGTCGAAAGCCTCATCTTTCTCCCGAGGAATGGCTGGTGGGTTCAAACTGCTGACCTTGGGTTAGCAGTCCAACATGTAACAGGCTACGCCCTCAGGTGTATGGTTGTGGAGGAGGTCTGGAAGGATGTTCACTAATAGCATAGATTAGCCTTGGGGGCTTGGCTCAGATCCCCATTATTCCACTCACTAACTGGGAGTCCACAGGCAAGTTACAGCTTTGTTATAAGGATGAAGAGAGGGGACATTAGTGAAGCATGTAGCACAGAGCCCAGCAGACAGTATGCACTCTGTAAGTGGGTGTGTGTGCGTGCCCAGGGGTATTGCATGTGTGCAAGTGCAGGAGTGTTCGTGTGTGCATGCATGTGTGTGGGTGCTGTTCCAGCCATGTGCTCAGTTGCTGTCCTGGTGGGTGTTATGAAGGATTTGTCTTCTCTGTAATTCCTCGCTGCTTCTTCTACCAACCTCCGAGAAGCCCTCTGCAGAACCCGGCCTCCAATGCCAAGCTGAGCCCAGACCTGGCGGGGATGTGGCACAGGGGGGTGGCAGTGGGGGTGGCTTGGGGCTGGGATTGAGCTACTGAGCTGGGTCCTCCCCAGACACATGGAATTCCTTCCCCGGGCAGCCACCCAGCCCAGCCCCCGAGGCCCAGACGGTGTCAGCTGCCAAAGCACACACCTTCCTGCCGGGGGAGCAACTTCCCGAGCCTAGGCGGCTGGCAGCTGGATGCTGGAGAGTGGGGTGAAGTGAGAGGACAAAGAGGCAATGGGGGTTGGGATGAAGGGGTGAGGAGAGGCAGGCAGGGGCGGGGGCTGTAGCCCTTGTCCTCTAAAATGATAGCCAACCACACATGGAAGGACAGGAGGCTGGCTCTCTGCCTTCAGTGGGCTGGGTGTCTTTGGACAAATCCCTATCCCTCTTGCAGGGAGGGTGGGGGCGGTGGTCCTCGGCCTAACAAGACCAGCTTCTGCTGCCCAGCAGAGGCAGGGACACAGTAAACGAGGAGAGCCAATCACTCCCCGCTGCCTGTCAGGGTCCCGTGCGTGGTTCAGATGCCCACATGCACCTTTCAGAAGATCCTCACAGCACCCATTGCACTGATGAGAAGACTGAGGCGCACAGAGCCCCACTGGCTTGTCCACAGGCCTGGGCTTGTTTGTGAAGTAATGAACCCCTCACACACACATGCCCACTATACTCATTCACACACACACACACACACGTGCAGACACTCACACAAGACATCCACTTTCCCCTTACAAGCCACATGCTTTGTCATTGTACCCCCACAAGTGCCCTGACCTAAGGATGTATTTACGCAAAAATATTCTTTACACGTGTATGAGGAAGGAGCCCGGGTGGCACCGTGGGTTAAGTGCTGGGCTGCTGACTGCAAAGTCGGCAGTTCAAACCCATCAAGCTCTCTGTGGGAGACAGAGGAGGCCGTTTGCTCCTGTCAAGCCCGGCCGTCCGGGACACCCCACAGAGCAGTGCTTGGGTGAGAATCCGCCCCAGGGCAGCGGTGGGTAAAACGCCGAGTAAGTGGTACAGAGGAGTCCAGGGGCACAGCAATTAAGCAAAAGGTCAGCAAGTTTGAACCCACCAGGGGCTCTGCAGGAGAAAGACGGGCAGTCTGTGTTCGTACTGATGGACGTCTTGGGAACACTGTGGGGCGGTTCTACACAGTCCCACGGGGGCGCTGTGAGTTAGAATTGGCTCATGGGGCAGTGGGCTTGGGCTCTGATGGTGCACATGATTAAGGGCTGCTAACAGAAAGGCTGGTGGTTCAAGTTCATGCAGAGGTGGCTCGGGAGGAAAGCCCAGTGAGCTGCTTCCTACAGGTCACAGCCATTGAAGACGCTCGGGAACGTTTCGATGTGCCCCAGGGTGCCACAGAGCCGGGCAGCAGCGGGCACAGGGTGAGGCAGCCTCGGAGAAGTCCCGAGGACCACAGAGAGACGATGAGCGGCTGCACTTGATGGGCCTGCCTTGCTTTTCTAGTCTTGAGAGCTTTCTGCCTCGGTCAGGGCAGTCTAATGGCTCTTTTATTTATCGCTCTCTATTCTTGAACAATAATTGAGCTCCCTTCTCTGACAGGTTTCACCGTACACACCCGCTTCCGACTCTCACAGGTCTCACGGGCCATGAACGTCAGGCTGTGGCAAGGTGTGGGGGCATTTCGGGGGTGCACAAGAAGGCCCGCCTGGCCTAAGTCTTGACCTGGCAGGTGGGTCTAGTGGGCCACCTGACAAGAAGTCATTCAAAACTCTCCAACCCACTGCCATCGCATCAGTTTGGACTCGTAGCAAGCCTGTAGGACAGAGGAGGACTTCACCTGTGGGGTTCAGAGGCTGTCGATTTTCACAGGAGCAGATGGCTGGGGCTTCAGACTGCTGACCTTGAAGTTAACAGCCCAATGGGTCACCTACTACACCGTCAGCAACTCACTAGGTCCCACCTTTGGTTTATGCGACTCCCCTTTGCAGTAGGGACAGTGGTGATTTCTACTGGGGTGGCTGCTCTCCATTGCCTCCTTAACTGTGCAGACGGCTCGTCATCTGCACTTTAACTGCTGAGGACATGAAGGTTCAAAGAGGGAGGCAGTTTGCATGAAGTCACCCAGCAAATCTGTCTGGGAGCCAGGAGTCAGCACCTGAGGTGGTCTGGTGTGTCTCCACAGCACAGTGGTGGGCAGCCTGACCAGTGACGGTCCCTGCCAGAGCAAGGGGGTTAGAGGGGCAGGGGAGGTGAAGAAGCCTCACCACAGATTCAGGACACAGAGTACTCTGGGCCCAGATGGTAGTGCCACCTCTTGGGCAGATCACCCAGACAGAACAGAAGAGTGTAGTGGTGTGTGAGTGCGGACTGACTAGAGAAACAAATTCATAGACACTCATATATGTGTAAGAGAGAGCTTTATATAAAAGAGCAATTGTATATTGAGAACACATCCCAGCCCAGTCCAGATCAAGTCCATAAGTCCAATATTGGCCCTTATGTCCGATATTAGTCCATTAATACCTTTTTAGACTCACACAACACATGCAATGATGCCGAATGCAGGAAGATCGCTGGCCAGTGGGGAAAAGGTCTTGTGAATCCAGTGGCGGTAGAAGCATCTCAACTCTGCCATGGGTCTCCAGGTGTCTCCTCCAACTCTCTGAGTGTCTCAACAGCAGGAAAGGGAAGGCAGAGAGAGTAGGTCTGGCCTCCAGTGAGCTATTTATCTCCGTGGCGCCTCCAAATGAGATCATCAAGCTGTGACCTGATTGACAGGCTAGACTCCACCCCTTTGATCAAGTTGATAGGAGATGACTAACCGCCTCAAGCAATTAAGGACTGGAGCGGTGGGGTCAACTTGTTCTGGGGCAGGCCACAGCCCTCTCTGAATTTCATTTCCCTGTTCCAT